AATGTACATATGGCAGAAATGTACGGAAAAATCAATTAAAGATGTAATCAAACAGACGATGAACACTATTAACAGCAATTATTATATGATGCAATCAAACTTATAGCAAAATGTGGTAGTTCTGTAAGTTGTTTCAGGGTTGGCATCATCTGAGGTCCTCTGAGGGGTTGGCATCATCTCTTCTCAGGTGTTCTGGATCCAGACTGAAGCTTGTGTAAATCCTAGTTACCACGGGATGTCAATCCCGTGGCAAAAACAGAGAAACAAATAGAGACATAATTAGCATAGCTGCTGTTCCAACCAAGCAAAATTTATTTGTTTAACCCAAACTAAAGAATAATAATGTGCATTTGATCAGATATAACTGCAGTACAAGATTATGATATGCATTATTTGAATGCTTGGCCAAAGAGATGTGTCTTTAATCTAGATTTAAACAGAGAGAGTTTACAGACTGACTATATCTTGATTTTGTCTTGATACTTGGCTTTCCTTATTTTCAAATTCATAATCGTAAAGACTGTTGTTCTTAAAACTCCAAACAACTGGGCTGTTAAGGTTACACACTCCTGGTAAACTGCATGATTTGTCCTTTTGGAAAGTCTGACAAGTCACCCATTTCACCCACGACTTGTACTAAACACTACTGAACACATACTACACTAAAATACAACCTAGAGAACAGTTAAAAGATAAATAAAATATAATTGCGACATTCATTCAGTCAGTCTGTAAAGTTCTGTATTAGGCCTATGTATCTTTCAAAAATATTAACTTTGTGAATTGTTGACATATTAAAAGTCTTGCTATAAAACAGTTATGGATAGCCCTTAGAGAACTAATGAGATATTAGATCTCATCAGTCAATCAACAATGTAAAATTGTCTATTTGTTTTGAACTAAAGGTCCTTTTTGTAGCCAGAGTACAAAGGTTCACACTGCTGTCGGTTATGTCTTATTTCCCATCCCTCCTTTTAATGAATGCCTTGGATACATGTAGCCATTTTAGCAGACATCTGTTTATCCGAAATGACTTACCGTACACTTATTACAGGGACAATCCTTCTGGAACAACCTGGGGTTACACAGCAGTGATGGTTCATTGAGCTTACAGGTCTCTAACCTGCAAACTTTTGGTAAGCAGCCCAGCCCCCCTTTACCCATCACAACACCACATACATTAGATACTATAACTATAGTCTGCCGGTTTATTGCCAACACAAAGGTTAAATGATACGCTTCACATAGCATAAGGTGTCATAGAGTCAGAAATGAATTCATGAATATGTGTTAAGCATCTCCTTTCAAAACAAATTGTATCTTATTGACAGGCAGCTATAAATTCCCATGAATCTGGTTGATCTGTTTGAGAAACCTTATCAGCATGAGGTAAAACAAACTAGCCTCCCCCTCGTCAATCTTTACCACCTCCGCCACTTACTCTTTGATTATTCCCTCCTTTCATCAAAATCTGTGTTGAGTGAGTTGGAGAGAATAGGAGGGGCTCTTCATTTGAAAAACAAAAAAACTAATTGTCCCGCTTAATCAAAGTATGCAGCTGAAGGACAAAGCAAACTTGCATTTTATTACCAAATATCTCTATAGAAGAAAGTTTCCTGGCCAAAACAGAAATAGAACACAAAACAGTAGTTTCTAAAACAGGAGCCAGAACCAGGCAGTACATGCACGAGGACAAAAGGACAGTTGTCCCCTGTCCACAAAACACATGTGAGTTGGCTGTCAGGGGAATATTTGGATCAGCTCAGCTATTGGAAAGGGCTGATAGAGTGGACTGAACGATATCTAATTCTGCTCCTGACGCAAAGACCGCCTGAGTGCAGGGATGTGAGCGTTGTCTTTCAGTCAAACCGGCAGCTCAGAGCGTGTTTGTATTTTTTTGCCAGCCATATATTTACGTGTAGAGGCTTTTACGTTGGTTTCAAAATACCTCTTTTAATAGATTTTCATTAATCTGTAAATTAAAGGTCATGCCAGTCATAATTACTACTTCATTTGTTTGCTGTTTTGCTGTCTGTAGCAACTAGGCCTGCGGTTAGCTGAGCAGATGAGCTTTGGACCTCCAGAATCAAGATCGCCGACCTCAAGCAGTGGCTGCTCTAATTACATTTACAAAACCACACGGGTGGATTAGATTATAGTGTGTCTTCCACATGCCCACAGAAAGCTTTAAAAAGCTAATAGAGAATTTCCTGGCCCACGTTGTGCAGCTGTGATTTTAGTCAAACGAAAAATGAGATGTCCTCCCACTATCAACCACATCTGAAGCTCTGATGGCACCACAGAGGTTCATTACACATGAACTTGAGAGCGTCCAAGGAACTGAATGAACCGATTGCCAATTTATTATGGGCATGAAAAATTAATCTGCAAATGAGTGCGATGGACTTCCTTTTCAAAATGATCTAATATTGTTGTGCAATGTATTGCACAATTATACATACCCTGTTGAATATATGCAAGAAAGACATCAATTTTGAAGAAATACTGACTAAATGGGAACACAAACTGTCAGATACATCTGTGACAGATTGTGGAAAATGTCTTTTAATGGAGCAGATCAAATTCCCAACATTGCAGAGAGTATCAGCGCGTGAGGAAACAGCCCCTGTTATTCATTTTCTCTCGAGAACATCCCAGCACATTCTCAAAGTAGAGCCATTTCATCTGGTTCACCATAATGCAAGGGCATCTGGACACAATTTGAACATGACAATTTTCTAGTCAACTACTTAGTAATCATGCAGTGAGTTCAGTGTCCTTGTATGGCCACTGACAACGAATGATCTTTAAAGATGCATGTGTGTTCTCACTCTAAATTTAGTGGATTCTCAGAAGTTTGAGAGTAGTAGAATAGAATAGAATAGAACAGAACAGAATAGAATAGAATAGAATAGAATAGTTTATCTATCTATCTATCTATCTATCTATCTATCAATCTGTATGTCTGTATGTCTATCTGTCTCTATTTGGATATTTGTGCATGGAAACAGCAACCCTTTTGTTTTCCTCACTATCTTGATGGGCCTTTATTGTCTGTGAAAGCTGTAGAAGTACTTCTGAGGATGATGCAAGGTATTACAAGTGAATTTGTTTTCTCAGCTGTGTTCATTTATGATCCATAATTTCTCTGGCACTGTAAAGAAGAATGGTTTAGTGTCTTGCATTCAGCTCGGTCCTGCAGCATTTCTTTAATACTATGAAATGAAATGAATGCAAGCAATGAGAATGAAACACTGGATCAACCTCATTGAGCAGCCAAGCAACTGCCTAGCAGGCATCACTTTAAATCTCTCATCATACTGTCCAATACTAACTAAACCAGGCTTATAACCTTCAATCTTCAAAGCTGCTGAAGTTCCATACTGCTGTAATCTTCTAGTCCAGGTTTTGTCCAGCCAAAATGTAAAAAAAAAAACTTTATATGTCTTGTACAGTATTTTTTAAGAGTGTCAGTATAAGCAATTACTTTGTTTTTTGAGAGTACAACACATTATCCAGCACTAATGATCTGTTGAGTTAACATTTTATGTCTATATACCGTATACAAGAAATGTAGCTAAGGTACATACATCTAAAGGTAGACATGTGTTTTCCAGATTTCTTGTATGTACTGCAATTATTTGCTGCAACATCACATTTCTGAAGGAGACAAGAGAAATATCGTTTTATGAATCTCTTTCTCTCCATCCTTTTTGTGATAGAACAGGTTATTCATTTATTTAATAGCTATTCTTGTCTTGGTTGTGCTTGTGTTTGAATGGGGAATAAAAGATTTAGTTCTCTACAGACATGTTTGCCTGCTAAACTAATAATACTCGATGCTAAACAGTCTGTTTCAAGAGCACTCCTGGTGATGATTGAGAAATCAGAACTGTGTTGCATTTATCGTGTGGTCTGGAGATCTGTGGTGGTGAAGGAATAAATATTATGGGAAGTGACTCTCAAAGGTTTTCTATGCCTTCAAATTCAGGCCAGTGACTCAGTAACCACATATGCATTTGATGATATCTTATTAAAATATAATCGCTTAAGAATAGCTCTTTGTAAACACAATTAATGGCCCAGATGTTTGACCTTAAAAATTTGTTTTTCAGGTTAACTAAAATCTAAAATTTTTACTCAGTAGATGTTTTTTTCTTTCTTTCTTACATATAAACATTCTGTATGATGATACT